AAAAATTTACCGCGATGATCATTCTTCACTTTCATCTACAACCGCAGTTCAAATATGAATTATTTCATATATACTTCACAGTCTTTAATATCCCACACCAAATAATCCAAGCCCTGTTTGTGCCTCAGGAAACAGAAGCTTCATCGTTGATATACACCACAGGTTGTATTGAAAGCTTGACAAACTGGATTAACGACAATCTTCACATCGTTGGTGGCCTCGCGTTTGGCTTTGCTGTTATTCAGGTACATGTACGTGGAGATTCTTTCTTATTCCATGACTGCGCAAAGCCTGGGATGGAGAGGGGGAGGAGGAGGGAGAAAAACCTGTCTCAAAATAGCGTCCAGACTCCCCTGAGCGTATAAAAACGAGGCTGATTGATAAGGCCATTTCCAAAGTTGCCTTTTGCCTCATGAGTCCAAACGAGTCTTCGTACAAAACCATTTCAGTGAAGATGTTTTTAACGTTCCCGGTTATTTTTGTGTATATCAGTCACATGTTCATCTGAAAATGTTTGCACAAAGACTAACGAAGAGGCAAAAGGAAACTCCGTCGGAAAATGGCATATTGTTGTTGGAGCTAAACAAACATGCCACGTGTCAGATAAAGGTTTCTGGCTATATAATGTAACAAACAGGTGATTCTGATGTTCAAAATTGCATTTCATATGCTTCTTTCTGTTTAGTTGCTTGGAATTCTGGGTGCTTTCAACATGATCCGGGGTATCGACCAAGTGGTGAAGTCACATGACAGAGAGACCGGGTTTAACTATGTACTATAAAACTGAAGAAAAACCACAGGATCCGGTTTCTGCTCGCAGGAGACAGCAGAAAACTAGAGAAACATATGGACTCTCTTCAAGCCTGCTTTGCACTCGGTTCATGGTAAAAGGAGTGTAGAGTGTGTGCTGGTGGCAGAGGGAGACGGGACCGGGTGGAGGAAGGCTGGGTACAAGCACATTCTGGAATTTCTGGCTTCAGCTTGATTTGTTACCTGGCAACCAAACTGAACTGAAAGCACAGTTTTTTAGGTAGAATTTTTGATAATCGTCGCTCTTTATTAAAACGTTCCTTATTACAAAATATAAATACAGTGGAACTCCGTTAATCCGGTCACCAACAAGCCACAAAAATCTGGCCGAATTAACGTGGTGGCTGTATAAAGGGGGTTAGGGTTAGGGGTTCTTTAAATAAGAAAATGATTGACTGAGCTCTTTTTTTTT